GTATGCATGTATGTATGTGTATGCGTATGCATGTATGTATGTGTATGCGTATGCATGTATGTATGTGTATGCGTATGCATGTATGTATGTGTATGCGTATGCATGTATGTATGTGTATGCGTATGCATGTATGTATGTGTATGCGTATGCATGTATGTATGTGTATGCGTATGCATGTATGTATGTGTATGCGTATGCATGTATGTATGTGTATGCGTATGCATGTATGTATGTGTATGCGTATGCATGTATGTATGTGTATGCGTATGCATGTATGTATGTGTATGCGTATGCATGTATGTATGTGTATGCGTATGCATGTATGTATGTGTATGCGTATGCATGTATGTATGTGTATGCGTATGCATGTATGTATGTGTATGCGTATGCATGTATGTATGTGTATGCGTATGCATGTATGTATGTGTATGCGTATGCATGTATGTATGTGTATGCGTATGCATGTATGTATGTGTATGCGTATGCATGTATGTATGTGTATGCGTATGCATGTATGTATGTGTATGCGTATGCATGTATGTATGTGTATGCGTATGCATGTATGTATGTGTATGCGTATGCATGTATGTATGTGTATGCGTATGCATGTATGTATGTGTATGCGTATGCATGTATGTATGTGTATGCGTATGCATGTATGTATGTGTATGCGTATGCATGTATGTATGTGTATGCGTATGCATGTATGTATGTGTATGCGTATGCATGTATGTATGTGTATGCGTATGCATGTATGTATGTGTATGCGTATGCATGTATGTATGTGTATGCGTATGCATGTATGTATGTGTATGCGTATGCATGTATGTATGTGTATGCGTATGCATGTATGTATGTGTATGCGTATGCATGTATGTATGTGTATGCGTATGCATGTATGTATGTGTATGCGTATGCATGTATGTATGTGTATGCGTATGCATGTATGTATGTGTATGCGTATGCATGTATGTATGTGTATGCGTATGCATGTATGTATGTGTATGCGTATGCATGTATGTATGTGTATGCGTATGCATGTATGTATGTATATGTTTATGTATTCATGTATGTATGCTTTTTATGCACTAATCTATTTATGTATGTAATGTATGCATATATATGTATACATGTATATATTTATGTATTATGTATGTATTTAGTATTTATATATATATATATGTATTTATCTATTTATGTATGTTTGTTTGTATATGTATTTTTTTCATTCATTCATTTGTTTGTTTAAATGTTTGTTTGTTTATCCATATATTCATTCATTTATTTATTCATTTACTTATTTATTCACTTATTTTATAAGTCATTATCGTTATCATTTTCAATGAGAAAAGGT